AGATGTAATTGATATTTTTAGGACATTCCATCCAAATACAGAAGATTAAACTTTCTTCTCAAGTGCATACCGAACATTCTCCAGGATAGATCACATCTTGGGTCACAAACCAAGCCTCAGTAAATCTAAGAAAATTGAAATCATATCAAGCATCTTTTGTGACCACAGTGCTATGAGATTAGAAATCAATTACAGGGAAAAAAACGTAAAAAACACAAACACGTGGGGGCTAAACAATACGTTACTAAATAACCAGGAGATCACTGAAGAAATCAAAGAGGAAATCAAAAATACCTAGAGAGAAATGACAATGAAAACATGATGATCCAAAACCTATGGGATGCAGCAAAAGCAGTTCTAAGAGGGAAGCTTATAGCCATACAAGCCTACCTCAAGAAACAAGAAACATCTCAAATAAACAATGTAACCTTACACCTAAAAGAACTAGAGAAAGCAGAACAAACAAAACCCAAAGTTAGCAGAAGGAAAGAAATCATAAAGATCAGGTCAGAAATAAATGAAATAGAAACAAAGAAAACAATAGCAAAGATCAATAAAACTAAAAGCTGGTTCTTTGAGAAGATAAACAAAATTGATAAACCATTAACCAGACTCATCAAGAAAAAGAAGGAGAGGACTCAAATCAATAAAATTAGAAATGAAAAAGGAGAAGTTACAACAGACACCTCAGATACAAAGCATCTTAAGAGACTACTACAAGCAACTCTATGCCAATAAAACAGACAACCTGGAAGAAACGGATAAATTCTTGGAAAGGTACAACCTTCCAAGACTGAACCAGGAAGAAATAGAAAACATGAACAGACCAATCAGAAGTAAGGAAATTGAAACTATGATTTAAAATCTTCCAACAAACCAAAGTCCAGGACCAGGTGGCTTCACAGGTGAATTCTATCAAACATTTAGAGAAGAGCTAACACCCATCCTTATCAAACTCTTCCAAAAAATTGCAGAGGAAGGAACACTCCCAAACTCATTCTAGGAGGCCACCATCACCCTGATACCAAAACCAGACAAAAATACAACAAAAAAGAGAAAATTACAGACCAATATCACTCATGAGAATAGATGCAAACATCCTCAACAAAATACTAGCAAACAGAATCCCACAACACATTAAAAGGATCATATACCATGATCACGTGGGATTTATTTCAGGGATGCAAGGATTCTTCACTATACGCAAATCAATCAATGTGATACACCATATTAACAAATTGAAGAACAAAAACCATATGATCATCTCAGTAGATACAGAAAAAGCTGTTTAGAAAATTCAACACCCATTTATGATAAAAACTCCAGAAAGTGGGCATAGAGGGAATGTACCTCAACATAATAAAGGCCATATACGACAAACCCACAGCAAACATCATTCTCAACGGTGAAAAATTGAAAGCATTTCCTCTAAGATCAGGAACAAGACAATGATGTCCACTCTCACCACTATTATTCAACATAGTCTTTGAAGTCCTAGCCATGGCAATCAGAGAAGAAAAAGAAATAAAAGGAATCCAAATTGGAAAAGAAGAAATAAAACTGTCACTGTTTGCAGGTGACAAGATACTATACATAGAGAATCCTAAATTGCCACCAGAAAACTACTAGAGCAAATCAATGAACTTGGTAATGTTGCAGGAAAAAAAATTAATGCCACAGAAATCTTTTGCATTCCTATACACTAATGATGAAACATCTGAAAGTGAAATTAAGGAAACACTCTCATGTACCATTGCAATAAAAAAGAATAAAATACCTAGGAAGTATTTTTTGTCTACCTAGGGAGACAAAAGACCTGTATGTAGAAAACTATAAGACACTGATGAAAGAAATTAAAGATGATACCAACAGATGGAGAGAAGTACCATGTTCTTGGATTGGAAGAATCAATATTGTGAAAATGACTATACTACCCAAAGCAATCTACAGATTCAATGCAATCCCTATTAAATTACCAATGGCATTTTTTACAGAGCTAGAACAAAAAGTCTTAAAATTTGTGTGGAAGCACAAAAGACCCTGAATAGCCACGGTGGTCTTGAGGGAAAAAAACGGAGCTGGAGGAGTCTGACTCCCTGACTTCAGACTATACTACAAAGCTACAGTAATCAAGACAATATGGTATTGGCACAAAAACAGAAACACAGATCAATGGAACAAGATAGAAAGCCCAGAGATAATCCCACGCACCTATGGTCAACTAATCTATGACAAAGGAGGCAGGGATATACAATGGAGAAAAGACAGTCTCTTCAATAAGTGGTGCTGGGAAAATTGGACAGCTACATATAAAAGAATGAAATTAGAATACTCCCTAACACCATACACAAAAATAAACTCAAAATGGATTTGAGACCTAAATATAAGACTGGACACTATAAAACTCTTTGAGGAAAACATAGGAAGAACACTCTTTGACATAAATCACAGCAAGATCTTTTTTGATCCACCTCCTAGAGTAATGGAAATAAAAACAAAAATAGGGCTTCCCTGGTGGTGCAGTGGTTGAGAGTCTGCCTGCCAATGCAGGGGACGCGGGTTCATGCCCCGGTCTGGGAGGATCCCACATGCCGCAGAGCGGCTGGGCCCGTGAGCCATGGCCACTGGGCCTGCACGTCCGGAGCCTGTGCTCTGCAACGGGAGAGGCCACAACCGTGAGAGGACCGCGTACCACAAAAAAAATTAAAATAAATAAAATAAACAAATGGGACCTAATGAAACTTCAAAGCTTTTGCACAGCAAAGGAAACAATAAACAAGACGAAAAGACAACCCTCAGAATGGGAGAAAAAATTTGCAAACGAACCAATGGACAAAGGATTAATCTCCAAAATATATGAACAGCACATTCAGCTCAATATTAAAGAAACAACCCAATCCAAAAATGCGCAGAAGACCTAAATAGCCCTTTCTCCAAAGAAGACATACAGATGGCCACGAAGCACATGAAAAGCTCTCAACATCATTAATCATTAGAGAAACGCAAATCAAAACTACAATGAGGTGTCACTTCACACCAGTTAGAATGGGCATCATCAGAAAATCTACAACCAACAAATGCTGGAGAGGATGTGGAGAAAAGGGAACCCTCTTGCATTGTTGTTGGGAATGTAAATTGATACAGCCACTATGGAGAACAGTAGGGAGGTTCCTTAAAAAACTAAAAGTAGAACTACCATATGACCGAGAAATCCCCCTCCTGGGCATATACCCTGAGAAAACCGTAATTCAAAAAGAGTCATGTACCAAAATGTTCATTGCAGCTCTATTTACAATAGCCAGGACATGGAAGCAACCTAAATGCCTATCGACAGACGAATGGATAAAGAAGTTGTGGTACATATATACAATGGAATATTAGTCATCCATAAAAAGGAACGAAATGGGGTCATTTGTAGAGACGTGGATGGACCTAGTGACTGTGATACAGAGTGAAGTAAGTCAGAAAGAGAAAAGCAAATATCGTATATTAACGCATATATGTGGAACCTAGAAAAATGGTACAGATGAACCAGTTTTCAGGGCAGAAATAGAGACACAGATGCAGAGAACAAACGTACGGACACCAAGGGGGGAAAGTGGTGGGTGTCGAGGGGTGGTCGTGTGATGAATTGGGAGATTGGGATTGAGATATATACACTAATATGTATAAAATGGATAACTAACAAGAGCCCGCTGTATGAAAAAATCAATAAAATAAAATTCAAAATTTCAGAAAAAAAGACAGCAATGGTTACTGCACATAAAATAAAATAAAATACAATGTCTCCTTACCCACATTAAAAAACAGGCAAAATTAATTTTAATTATATGTTTAACCAGATATAAAAAATTTTATCATTTCAACATGTAATCAATATAAAATTATTAACGACATTTTACATTATATTTTTCATAATAAGTCTTCAAAATCTACTTCAACTATAGCTCAATTTGGGCACTACATTTTCAGTGGTAAAGTGAAATCTAGTCCTTCCCAAACAATAAAGTTTGTGTTTAATGGAAGCATGTTATCCTACTTCAGGTTTTAAATTTAAATTAAACTTACATAAAACAAAAAATTCAGTGCCTCAGCCGCAGTAGACACATTTCAAGTGCTCAATAGCCACACGTGACTAGTGGCTACCGGTTTGGACAGAGCATAATTCTGGGTCTTCTCTAGAATTTTGTTTGCACTTCTAGGAGAATCACGGACCCCATGAGCCTTGATTTATATGTCCCTTGGTTAAGAATTGTCCTTTTCACATTTTATAAGCCAATTCACTGTTTAAAAGAAGCCTACAAGTTACTTTCTGTATGTTGACTGAACATTATTCAAATTTGCTCATGAATAAATTCCTTGGGCTAAATCAAGCAACTTTACAGAAACTGCGAAGTGAACTATTGATCTGGATTTAGAAAAATAAGCTGAGGCTATAATGGTTGAACCACTTTTGGTCGCTGCTGTTTATCACGGTCTTCTGGTTTGATAAGAGGATTTAACTTCTAGATATTAAAGTTACTGATTTTCACTTTCCTGACAAGTAAACTTTAAGCGTCTTCACCTTTCAGGGCACATAAAGCTCACCCAAAAAACAGGCAGTGGCTGCTGAACTTGCCTAGATAGGAATTCATCCAAAGCCCTCTCCTATTTTAGCCAAAGCAACTGCTCGCCAATTCAAACTTTCTTTAGAGAGAAATGCATCCACTATAAAACAGGCAGGGGGAGCGGACTTTTGCCAGGTACTGCTCAAAACCCCCTAAGACTACTGCCACCGAAAGTCTGTAGTGCCATTGTTTAACGGCAGCGGCTTCAGCTCGCCGCAGCAAGCCTGCTCGCTAGGTTCCGCAGCACCCTTCTCCCAGCGCCTCCCAGCCCTGCTCGGCCTGGGGGCGTGGCCGGGGAGGAGGGGGCGAGCCTTGGCTCGGGGGCGGGGCCTGTGGGGGTTGGGGAGCCAGGAGGCGGAAATTCCCGGGGGCCGTGGGGACGGCGTACACACCGCGAGTCACTTGTCAGCGCTCGTCTGAGCCGGAGGTATCGCCGCGCCGGACCCGAGGTGAGTGGCCCCCCGCCGGCGATGCGCGTCTCGGATCCCCGGTAGGGAGGAGGGAAAGAAGGGGTCGCCGTACGCAGAGCGCGTGGAGGGAAGCCCAGGTAGTGGAGAGGAGGGGGCGCGCCTCGCTCCGGGTGGCTGCTCAGGTGTTTGCCGGACGCCGATCAGCGGAGGTGGGAGAGCGGCGTGGGAAGAGAAGCGTCCGGGAAAGGGCGGCGCGGGAGCGGGCCCCAGGCCAGAAGACTGGCACTGGAGCTCGGGCGGATTGGGACGAGAGCGGCGGCGTCGCCGGGCACGCACCTAGGCGTCCCGAGACACTCGCGTTCTGCGCGAGTCTCCTGAGGGTGTGGGGAGGAAGCGGGTCTAAACGGGAACGGCGTGCTGATTTTTTGTTTGCTCTCACGCTGCTGAGAAGCATTTATTTCCCCCCGAATATTTAGGATTGTGTAACCTGTTAGGGGACAACTTCCGTGCGTCCAGAAATAGAGCTTGTTTAAAAACAAATCTGTCATGAACGCCAGATTTATTAGTGCTCGCGTACTTGGTGGGGCTTTTTTTAAAAGACTGTGGTCCCGTTCGTTTGACAGTAAGTGGAAAAAGGAAGGGCGTATGGACAGGGCAGTCGTTGGAAAGAAAATTCGTGGCTGCGCTGGGCAGGGTAGGTCTCGGGTGTGATCGCCAGAGCCTCTCCGAAGTCTGCCTTCCTGACCACGGGGACGTTGGAAGCCGCCTGCCTCGGGGGCAGCCGGCTCGGGAACCTTATTTGGCAAACAGGGCTAGGCGTGAACCCCAGCCCTGCTCGGCCTGGGGGCGTGGCCGGGGAGGAGGGGGCGAGCCTTGGCTCGGGGGCGGGGCCTGTGGGGGTTGGGGAGCCAGGAGGCGGAAATTCCCGGGGGCCGTGGGGACGGCGTACACACCGCGAGTCACTTGTCAGCGCTCGTCTGAGCCGGAGGTATCGCCGCGCCGGACCCGAGGTGAGTGGCCCCCCGCCGGCGATGCGCGTCTCGGATCCCCGGTAGGGAGGAGGGAAAGAAGGGGTCGCCGTACGCAGAGCGCGTGGAGGGAAGCCCAGGTAGTGGAGAGGAGGGGGCGCGCCTCGCTCCGGGTGGCTGCTCAGGTGTTTGCCGGACGCCGATCAGCGGAGGTGGGAGAGCGGCGTGGGAAGAGAAGCGTCCGGGAAAGGGCGGCGCGGGAGCGGGCCCCAGGCCAGAAGACTGGCACTGGAGCTCGGGCGGATTGGGACGAGAGCGGCGGCGTCGCCGGGCACGCACCTAGGCGTCCCGAGACACTCGCGTTCTGCGCGAGTCTCCTGAGGGTGTGGGGAGGAAGCGGGTCTAAACGGGAACGGCGTGCTGATTTTTTGTTTGCTCTCACGCTGCTGAGAAGCATTTATTTCCCCCCGAATATTTAGGATTGTGTAACCTGTTAGGGGACAACTTCCGTGCGTCCAGAAATAGAGCTTGTTTAAAAACAAATCTGTCATGAACGCCAGATTTATTAGTGCTCGCGTACTTGGTGGGGCTTTTTTTAAAAGACTGTGGTCCCGTTCGTTTGACAGTAAGTGGAAAAAGGAAGGGCGTATGGACAGGGCAGTCGTTGGAAAGAAAATTCGTGGCTGCGCTGGGCAGGGTAGGTCTCGGGTGTGATCGCCAGAGCCTCTCCGAAGTCTGCCTTCCTGACCACGGGGACGTTGGAAGCCGCCTGCCTCGGGGGCAGCCGGCTCGGGAACCTTATTTGGCAAACAGGGCTAGGCGTGAACCTCTCTGCTGGAAAACTGTCTCGTCGGCTACTTTCACCCCGTGCCCGTGGCTTTAGTTCTTCCACTCTACCTCCACAACCGGTCAATCTGGGGAAGAAGAGGATCTCAAGATACAGCTTTAATTTCAGACCCTTCTCGGAGAAATTCATCATGAGTTCTTTCCCTTCTCCCACCCACCGAAGAAGCTGGGATAGGAGTGTGGGAAATGCCAGGCTTCCTGCCTAAGTACTAGAGCGAAGACATTGTTTGGACTTTCCCCTAAAAGACAATCCAGCACGGTACAGAAGTGCCAACATTTTCTACGTGCTTGAAAGCAGAAAGGCTGCTCGATATTTCCTGCCTGCTTGGTATTTAAGGAAGAGTTTGGGCCCTAATATTACCAGACCTGGAAAAGGCCAATAGTATTAACAGTTGCTTCGGTTTCAGAATATTTTAAGGCATGTGAAGCTAGCAAAGGGAGAGTAGTGGAAGGGAAACGACACTAGAAATGAACTGACGCTGGTTCTGTAGTGTGGCTGTGACCTTGCCAGTGCTAGAGATTTTAATAACAAATGGGAGAAATCAGGAAGGGAACTCGCAAGTAAAGGGAAGCTGCAGGTACATAGGTTGATATATGAATTAAACACATTTTCTTGTAGGGAACATTGGGATTAGAGGAAGTGGAACCTAACTTTCAAATTCTTCTCTTGACATAAAGTTAAAGATTAAAAAAGAAGGAGGGGTAGGCTGCCTGAAGTATCTGTAGGCTTTACACACTTTTGATTTATATTGTGTGCCATTATCCAGTCTTTCTCTACAAGTTCTCTGAAACTTTTATTAGAGTGAGAAAGCAATTAGACTGTGTGGCTCCTTATTACCTCCTTACTATTTGTTTTTCACATATATCAAATAGCTTGACCTCTGGTTTGGCCTTTTCATCTTTTTAGTGTTTGTTGCATCAGTATTGACGTAATGTATTATTGGCTAGTAGTTCAGTGAACTACTATGCCAGTGGAAAAGCCCATTTTGTTTCTGGGCAGATGCAGGGCAGATTTTCACTGATTTTTCTTTAAGAACTGGACTTATTTGAAAGTTTTGCCTCATTTTCCCCATATGAGAAGATGGAATCTGCTTGCTTTTAATATACCCAGTGATTCGCATATCTACATCTGCCACTATTAATTTGATGTGATGGAATAGAAATTTTCAATGGGTTAAAAAAATGGAATAATATTTTAAGACAGGTAATAGGTGATGATTTGGCTCAATAGCACAGATTTTCCAAGGAAGTGTGTCTGAAACAGCTTTCTTAAAAAAAATGTGGTTTTAAAATTATTACACATCTGTTACATTATTATTTTTAAAGAGGGAAATAATAGATGTCTTAGTATTACATTTTAGAAGACCTCCATTCCTCCCAGTTTCTCCCACTCACACATAACCACCATAACAACCAACACCAAACTCCGAGTCACACTTTTTTTCTTTAGTTTTTTTTTGTTATATAGAAGTACTACCATGAGAGTCATTATGAGCGCACTTCCAGCAAAACACAGAAGAGAGAAAGCACTGAAGCGCTGGTTCTTTTCTAAAGCTCTAAGTCTTTCATGCATTAAGATTCACCTTTTATTCCTACCATGTTTAGTCAGACTTATACACTGTGTGGTAAATGCTCACTCCACTTTGCCTGATGAGGTGTGTATATAAAACAGAAAGCAGGTTCTGATTGAAATATCATTGTGCTAGAGTATTGCCCATCATTGCCTGTCCGAAGGCAATGTAAATAATTTCTTTGCATGGAAAATAACATGTCCCCAGAAGAGGAAATACAAGTTGTAGTTTATAATTGGAGAGAATAGTTTTATGCACTAAAAAACAACTTCTTGTTTTAAAGAATTTAGAGTTTGGAAAGCATGAATGAGAGTCTACTGATTTGTAGCTCTTTTCATTTGTTAGGATAACTTAGAAGTAAGTGAAATTGAAGGGCTCTTGCTAACTGCAGGCAGAAGAAGGACAGGGAAAATCATTTTGAATTAAACCTGAAATAAAGTTTTGTTCTTTTTTTGTATAAAATGAAGTGTTGTAAAGTACTTTGAATTAAAGTTTGTATGCAAGAAGCCACAAATTGTAGTGTAGCAAGTTGTAAAACTGATCAAATGTCTAGAAATATACTCTGATATGGAATTTTTAGACTATGGAAATTGGCATGAGTTTAGAGATTATGTATTAGCTCATAGATTCCTTTTCTTTGAAATGAGAAGTTAATATGACTTATTTTGCATATCCCCTCTTCCCCCCAAAACAAAATACTGAAGATCATTTAGTTGAAATATGAAATAGGTTTTAAAATAAACATTTTTGTTAACCATCTAATTTTCTTTCACAGTTTCTTTCATTTTTGGGCATTGGACTTTGAGCCATTAGAACCATGAGCAACTACAGTGTGTCCTTGGTTGGCCCAGCTCCTTGGGGTTTCCGGCTACAAGGTGGCAAGGATTTCAACATGCCTCTGACAATCTCTAGCGTAAGCAAACTTTACAGATTTTTTTTGTGGATGTTCATTCAATGCATAGTCCTAGAAACATTACGGCCGAGTTGTTGAATTCTCTGGATGACCTGCGCTCTACTTAATAGAATTGCTTATGGAATATGATCTCAGCAAACTTAGTTATGTATAGTAAAGGATGGGCTGGGGAGGGAATTTAGCAAGGATAATTGATTTCAATTAAGCTTGTTTTCCCCCATCTTAATAATAAAATTGAAAGCATTTAACTGGGGGGGACAGACTCCAAATCTTTGAACTGTCGCTAATTTGGGGAGTTCTCTGGACCTTAGTTTCTTCATATGTAATAGAAGTTTGCACTGTGGGATTTTCACAGTCCCTTTCAGCTCCAAAAGTTGTTTATTAGAAACTGTTGATCAGTATTGAATAAAATGACTGTTTTTGGTGTTATTTCCTCAGCTTGCTCTCTGGTGAGGGGTTAGTCTACAGTAAAATGGCCAAAATCTACTTACCTATGAAGAGAAAATGAAGGGCTTGGATGGCCAACTAGATAGTCGGCCTTTGAATGCTTAAGATTTGGCTGTTTACGTCATGGATTTAGTTTGAATGTATTCTGTGTATATATTTTAATGATATGTTTTCTTGATGATAATGACACTGATGAAGGGAGTAATTATAGCTTTCATTTATTGAGGTTTGACTGGGTATCAGGCATTGTTTCACTTTCATCTCCAGTAGGTAATTATTGCTGTTAATTACTTGCATAACATTTCAGAGGGTTTTTTGTATATTCAAATAAATATGAATATCTATTCCCCTTTTACTTACATGGTAGCATCTTAATACACACTGTTCCACACATTGCTTTTTTCCTCAACAATTTACCTTAGAGAGCTTTCCCTGTTACTAGAGTTTTTTTCTTTTTCTTTTTTTTTTTTTAATAACAGATATATAGAATTCTTTTGTAGGGACGTACAATTTATTTAAGCAATCCCCTATTGAAGGGCATTTATACTGTTGCTAGTATTGCTATTACAAGTAATGCTTCAGTGGATATCATATATACATAATTATATATGTATAATTTTGATAGGTTATGCCAGTTTGCACTTTTATGTAATACATAAAAAAATTGATTCCCCCAACAGCATTACCAGCAAACTTTTGGGTTTTTGCCAAGTTCTTTACTTCATCTCAGTTAATTCTCACACCAACCTGTGAAATAGTGGTTTTATTCTCATTGTAAAGAACTGTGCTGTGAGCTCCCATGGCTGGTGTGGAAGAACTGGCTTTCAAGCAGTTAATGCTCTGCTTCCTCCCCAATAAGCTTTATCATAAATTTAGGTAGATTGCTTCTCTAGTTAGATATTTAGAGAGTTATCTTTTGGTTTAATTATATATGTACTTATTATTTAATTATATATGTGTGTGTGTGTGTGTATATATATATATATATATATATATATATACACACACACACACATACATACTGCTTCTTACAGTATGTATATCCAACTCGATTTTGAAAGATTAAAAATAAGTTTGTAACAATTACGTATCTCTATTAAAATACTTCAAATCCCAGTTTACTAATGAAGTTTTCCTTGTTTCTTGGCTATGGATTTTTAAAATAGTTATCTTTATCAAATTCCATCTTGATTCCAGTTACTCAGATTTTACAAGGAAACACATGTATGTAATCCAGCCTGAAAGTTTTAAGACTTTGCCTGGTTGGATGAAATTTTAAATGTAAAGCATCTGTGTGAAAATGTGTCTTGTGATTTATTCCTGTTTGAGGGGGGCAGTATCTTTTTGCCTTCTACTGAAGAGCTATCATGAAGAAAGGAAGAATATTTGAATATTGTCTGTTTTCGCATTCTGTTTACATTATTTTACATTAATTTTGAATATCCTAGTTTATGATAATGAACTAAAGAAAATTATGGTTTAAATGCTTCCATTTTCTGCTGAAAAAAAAGTGCAGAACCAAATTAACACCTCATGCAACACACTTTGTTGTTTGATTGTAGAAGTGCAAATGGAGTATGTAAATGTTGTGGTACCATACCTTTAAAAAAGTTTTCTGTGCTTCAGTTTCCTGGCAGACAATCTGAGTTCCATGTTGTGATGCTGATACAACAGAACGCTGTGTACATACATATGTGCCCTCTCCTGGCACAGAAGAAATGCTTTCCTTGTGTAGACAGAGTGTTAATTAAAGGATTTTGAACACACTGATTAAAAGAGACTGCGGTAACAAAGCTGCTGAGTTATTTCTGTTCTCTTACAAAAGTCTCTGCCATCTCCTGTGACCTTTTTGGGCCTTGTGCAGTGGGGCATGCAATTCATTCTGGATTGGCGAGGAGAGGGAATGTTGGTGCAACTGTGCAGCTAGGCTGTTGGCCTTTCATTTAGTTATTTTTAACCCCTTGTGTGGTTCAGTTTAAACAGGCCCAGAAACATTGCCTAATAAAGATGGGTGCCTAATAACTAATCTATATTGTGGTAGTAAGATTATTAATGTTATACCTCATCTTAATTAGTTCTCTGGTTATATTTATTCTGCCGTAATTATGTAAAATTTTGGGGATATATTCAGTGGATATATTTGGGATTATTTAATTAGTAGTATCAAGAAGCAATTAAAACCTGAAAGCATGCCTTAAAATATGTAATTTAGTGATTCTCTTATTTTAATAATGTATGTGTAATTCTTAACAAGGTCTGGCATGGTATTCTCTCAGTTGTTATCTTTTACAATAATATGAAATTAAAAAGAAAAAATTTGGAGACCTGAAACATCAAATCCCCCATAATTTTAGGGAACATAGCAGTTATATATTTTTTTACTTACAGTGTGTTGGAATTGATAAAGAAAAATAAACTTATAGGTTTGTGCTTCGCTAGGAACCTGCATCTATATGTAGTTCAAAAGGATACAGTATTTCCTCTGGTCATGTATTATTATGTTGAACTCCAAAGGGCTCTTTACGTTCCCTTATAATATTGGAACTCTGTGATATCAAATGTATTTGAGATAAATAAGCCATTGGCTGGGACTTGAACATTCTGTTTTCTTGAGATTTCGTTACCAGCATAGGAATATATGGATTATGACTTGCTTCGTAAAGCATACAAACTGTAAAATTTTAACATTACTCTCAGATTTTGTTTCCCGTCTCTTTTGTATGAGTTTTGCATACTTGTTTAGTAGGTGGGTTTCTAAGATAAGATTGGTGATTGTTGCAAACTTTTTGAAAAGATCCTCAAATTGCTGTAATTGCCTGATCCCATGTCATTGTCTTCAATTTCCTATCCTTGAAGTGGTGTGTTGGCTACTGGAGTTTGCAGGCTGCCTTTTTATGACCCTGTATTTATGGAATTGCCTTGAAGCCATGGTATGTGAGGATGGGTTTTATTGTAGCAGTGTGGGTTTGTTGGTCTTTGCCAATATATTTTATAAGAAGAAATAGGAGACTTGTTGCACAATTCAAGGCCATACTTTTGGCAAGTTGCTGACCCTCATGATGGAATTACAGGAAAGATAGTGTATTTGTGAATAACATTTTAAGTACAGCATCCTAAAATTGAAATACTCTGCTTGTGTTATTTTCTGATGTATGATATTAGAATTTTTCCCTTAGCTGTCAATATTTGGATTTCCTGAAGGTGATCTCCCAATTCTCTATAAACACATCTATGGTGTTTCTTTAGCAGATAAAATGAGGTCAGACATTTTAATACCCAAATAATAGAGATTTTGATTCTCAACAGTTAGTGGAGGATCATTTGTTTTCAGGTCAGACAAGATTTTAGTTGGATGTGAAAAGCAGAAGAAATGTACCATTTCCTGGAGTATGGAGTCCTGTTTAGGAGTATTACATAGAACAGAGAAAGAGCCGTGAAAACACTTTGCTGTGAATTCATTCATTCAGTAATTAAAAGGATACATCCTAGAAGCCACTGAAGAAGAGACAAAGCATTGGGGAGTACAAACGTTGGAGAGAAAAATAAATACAGTACAAGACAATGTCATAAGACCTGTCACAAGACAATATTTGATGGAATGACAGAGATACAGATAAGTGTTTCTCAGTTTCAGTGGGCACAGACCTTTCATATCTGTTTAAGGGTAGAGGGTTCGCTTCCTACAGGAGAAATTAATTGAACTGGTCCTTGAAGAATGAAATCTGAACACCTCAAAGTCAGTATTTCTCTGTGTTGGTTTTCAGTTCAGAGTGAAGACGAAGACTTTTCTTGCCATTGCTTGAATCTGAGTGAAGCTGTGAATATAGCTGAGTGATTCTCCAGACAGGCCAGCTGCAGAGTTTCCCTCCTAGAGGCGGGCAGAAAGAGACTTTCAGTCCTCAAGCTGAAATGGGAGAACCATCCTCCCTTGAATAAATGGGCCCATTGTTAATTTTAAGCTGTTGAGTATTTTCTTTTACATTCCCTTCCAACTACCCTGTTATTATGCCAAGTGCGAAAGTTGACAATTTAGCTTGTTTAACTGCATAATGTACATTTCACATGTATGTTCACCCTCTGCTTTTAAAATATTAATCACCTTTTGTGGAGGGCTCAGAGACCTGTCTTTTCCCACGTGGCAGTTTTCTGTCATTTGTGGTCCCGAGGGTCAAGAACCTCAAGCTCATTCTGAAGGTGTTTTTCTGGTTTGTTATTTGTAAAGAAATGAAAATCTTTATCAGTATGTTTTATTGTAAGTTAATAGTTTGAGAAAAAAAAAGGCTTTTTTGGTTTTTTTTTTTAGTTTTTAATGAATATTGGGCATTTTAGAAAGTTATTGGTTAAAAAGAATTTTACTGGTATGCAGGATTTTTGTATCTGATGGAAGAAACAATATTGTAGAGATTGGGTGAAGTAAGAATAGCACTTTAGACCTAAGTAAGGGAGATTTTCATACAAGCTATTCACCTACTCATGAGTTAGGTCTAATATTTGCTTACTTAAACTCAGAATAACCAAAGCCTATAGACTTGTTTTCAGTCATTTTTGAGAAC